TGGGGGGGGGGGGGGTTAGGGATTGAGCCCCAGGCAGAGCCTCACCTAGCAAGAGCAAGGCCTTCTGTTCAGTCCTCACCTCTGGGGAGGGGGGGAAGAGAAGAGAGGGAGGGAGGGAGGGAGCAAGCTAGCTAGCTAGCTAGCTAAAAAGACAGCTCAGGGGTTAGGAGCACTTGCTGTTCTTGCAGAGGACCTGGGTTCAGTTCCCAGTATCCACATGTGGCTCACAGTCCTGAACGCCAGGAACACAGGTGGTGCACAGACATACATGCAGGCAAAACAATCATACATATAAAATAAACCTTAAAAAATTAAAGAAAAGAGTAAGGGACTGGAGTGAGGGCTCCGTGGTTAAGAGTACTGGCTGCTCTTGCAGGGGGTCTGGGTTCAATTCCTGTCACCCACACCTATCTGTAACTCCAGTTCCAAGGGACCCGACAACCATGGCAAAATACCAATGCACATAAAATAAGAATAAATTTTAAAACATTGTTTTAAAAGGAAGAGAGTAAAATCTTTGATCAGTTGACTATTAAATTATGACAAATGCTGCTATGAAACCTTATTTGGGATGAATATATTTAACTCTTATTTCCCTAAATAAATCTGAAGTAGACAGGCAATCTATGCGGATGCAAAGGATCAAAGCTCTAGAGCGGGGTCCCTGGGACTGGTGAGAATTTGCTGGGTTTGAACCTGTGCGCCTGCCTGGCCCGTGGCAATGATTAACGTTTTAGAAGTCATGGGTCTCTTTGAGAACACGATGAAGCTGGGAGCTTTCTCCCTAGCAAAACGTACTTAGGTGCAGAAACACGGACGGGGCTCATCAAGAGTTTCTACTTTAGCATTCCCCTCTGTCTTAAAGAATCCCCACCCCCCACACCAGGGAAGGGAGCACAACCAGAAGTAAACCGCATATTAATGGAGTTCTTTAAGCTCTCCTTGCCGTCACCCTACAGCCCTTGCTGCTGCGTAACTTACATAAGAAACTAGTGAGTGTGACCCGAAAGGGCAGATTCCTAGCGCGTGCGTTCACAAGCAAGAGTGGTGCGGGAGGCCCACGCAGCTCCGGGGCTGCAGTGGAGCCCCGGGCTCAGTGGGGTCCCCGCCCTTCCTCGCCCCAGGTCCGAAGCCACCCCCGACCCCAGCGCCCAGGTCACCGCCCCTACTCGTCTCTAGCGTCTTCTGGAGCATGAGCGGGCAGCTCTGGTCCCGGGTGAAGAAGCCGGAGAGGAAGCCCTCCTGGGTCTTCCCGTGGGCCGGCGGCTCGGGCGAGCCCTGGCCGGAGTCGCGTCGCTGCAGCAGCGGCTCCCCCGCCGCTGGGCCTGGCCCGCCACCGCCCGGAGCCCCAGCCATGCGGCCCGCAGGCTTGGGCGCCTCCTCCTGCTCGTTCCCTTCAGCCGACCCGAGACACCGCTTCCGCCGCCGAGCGAGCCCTCAACCCCCCGGCACCGGGCTTCGGTGGGCGTGGTTTGGTGGGCGTGGTCCGGTGAGCGGGGGCGGGGGCGGCTCCTGGCCACCCTGTCACTGCTGCAGTCTCTTGACGTGGTTGGCCTGTCTTCTCAGCCTCCTGCTGCCTTCTGGACTGCTAAGGTGGCCACCCCATCCTGTATGTAGCCTTCTTCCCACCAATGCAGGCCGCTAAGGTCCTTTCTGCTGCGCTCTCTCTCTCTGTCATCTTCCCTTCCCTGACCTCTGCTGTTTCTCTCATTTGCACTACCTGCTCAGACCCAGTTTAAGGCTGTATTTTCAGAAACTCTTGGAAACAATAAAGACTGGTTGGTCACACCAAAATCTAGCTCATCGGGACCCATCCTTCAACCCCACTATCTTGCCAGCACAAATAACTGATAAGATAAATAGTTTATTTCTACCTCCAGACCTCAATTCACAACTGTGGTGTCAGTCTCGGAGGCTTTCTCCTCAGTACCCATTATCAGGGCCCAGATCAAGCCTATCTACTCCCCCAGGGAATTGCCAGCACCATTACTCAAAGTTAATGTTGTCTGGTCTGTAGTTCAAAGCGTTTTGTACAAGTTAGTGCATGATGACAGACTTCCGTGTTTAATGTACGCATGTGTGTGTTTGTGTGCCTGTGTGTGTGCGCCTATATGTGTGCGCGTGTGTGTGTGCCTGTGAGCGCACGTGTTTGTGTGCCTGTTTATGTGCGCGTGTGTGCGCCTATATGTGTGCGCGTGTGTGTGCCTGTGCGCGCGCGTGTTTGTGTGCCTGTTTATGTGCGCGTGTGTGTGCGCCTGTGTGCATGTGCCTGTGTGTGTGTGTGCGCGCGTGTTTGTGTGTGTGTGTGTGTGTGTGTGTGTGTGCCTGTGTTTCTTTCCCCACTAAATTATTCAGCTCGGCTCACACATTTATTCAGCACCTGCTACCATGAGCCAGGCAGGACGGTAGGGTCTGAGAAAACAAAGACGAATAAGAAAATCACTGAAGGGCTGGAGAGAGATGGCTCAGAGGTTAAGAGCATTGCCTGCTCTTCCAAAGGTCCTGAGTTCAATTCCCAGCAACCACATGGTGGCTCACAACCATCTGTAATGAGGTCTGGTGCCCTCTTCTGGCCTTCAGGCATATACGCATAAAGAATATTGTATACATAATAAATAAATAAATATTTAAAAAAAAAAAAAAAAAAAAGAAAATCACTGAAGTTGAACTACAGCATATGTTTTATGTTGGAAAAATATCTAAGAAAAATCGGTGTACAAGGCCTCAGGAATTATGAACAGCACTTAGATGTCGCAGGTGTTTAGCGAACATGAGCTGAAGGGAAGCCGAGGGCATTCACTCATTTGCAATATTATACAACAATGAGCACCTGTACTTTACAGACTAATAAAGCTATAAGCAAAAAATTAGATTGTTTTTATTGAGCTCCATTTATGTACATTATTTCCGATCCTCATTACAACCTTGCAAAATATTATCAGCCCTGATTTGCAGATAGAGGTGAGCTTGGCAAAGCTAAATAATTGATCCAGCTACAGAAGAAAGCTGAGGATGTAACTTAGTTGACAGATGGCTTACTTGATAAGTAGGAGTCCTGGGTTCTGTCCCCTGCACCGCATACGCAGACATGGTGGCAAAATGTGCCTGTAATATCAGGAGGAGTTCCGTGTCATCCTCGGCTACCCAGCAAGGTGAAAGCCAGCCTGGGATACATGAGACCACATCTTAAGAAACAAGCAAGTTAGAATAAGGCTGGAGAAATGGCTCAGCAGTTGAGAGCAATTGCTGTTGCAGAGGTCCTGGGTTCGGTTCCCAGCACCTACACAGTAGCTTATGTCCATGACTCCAGTTCCAGAGGATCCAACACCCTCATCTGACCTCTCTGGAAACAAGGCACACACGTGATACACATAGATGCATGGACATAAAACACACATACACATAAAGCATAAATCTAAGCAGAATTTTAATTAGAAAAGGGAAGCAGACACCTGTGGAGACAGTCATTAAAATTGCGCTCGGTTAGTTTAGAACACTAGCAGAAAGCTAACAGACCTGGCAAGGTCTAGGGCAGACCACACACTGTGTCCTGGTTTGCTTCTCTAGTGTTGTAATCACTGATGAAGAAACAACTTAAAAAGGAAAGGGCTTACTCTCCTCTCAGGTTATAGGAAGTGGGCGGGAACTGGAGGAAGGAAGGAAAGCAGAGACCGTGAGGAGCCCTGCTTCCTGGTCTCCCCGTAGCCTCAGTCTGTCCAGCTGTCTTTCTTTGCTGTCATTTTGTTTTGTCCTGTTCTATTTTGCGGCAGAGTCTCACTATGTCAACCAGGCTGGCCAGGAACTGGTTGACCAGGCTGGACTCAGAGATCCGCCTGCCTTGGCCTATCCCACCCCACTTCTGGGATTAAAGGGTGTGTCACTAGACCCAGGCCTCAGCCTCTTACATAACCCAGGACCACCTGGCCAGGGTGGGACCACCCATGGCGGACCGGCCCCTCTCACATCAATCATTGGCCACAGACTTGCCTACAGGTCGATCTGATGGTGGCATTTCCTCGACTGAGTTCTTTCTTCTCAGATAAGTTGAGTTGTGTCAGGTGGACAACAAAACTAGCCAGCATACCTAAAAAATTGTCTAGCATATTACTTAGCTACATGAGTAATCAATGCAAAATTATTCCAGAAAACATTTCTCAATGCTCACTTCTGAAAGAAAATTAAAATTATACCAAAATATCAGTCTCGTCTAAGTATTAGATTCTTCGATTTACATTCTCCTGAATTTTCTTCCTATGAATGGGTGTGTGTATGTGTGTGTGTGTGTGTGTGTGTGTACACTTGAGAGTTTGAGTGCACATGTGGGGGGTCCAAGGACAATCACAGGTGTTCACACTACCGCACCCAGCTTTAGATTGGCTCTGGGGATTCAAACTCAGGTCCTCCAGAGTTCTTTCCCCACTGAACCACACCCCCAGCCCCCGAACTTCCTTAATGTCCTACAGTAAGCAAGCACATTACCCTAATAATCACGAAGATTAACTTTCAGAGGTTGAGCAGGCTTTCGGTGCCACGTGTATAACTTCACATACAATGCCCTGCAGGGGAGAAGGGAAAAGCCGTCCTGTGAGACCTGGGGATAAATAGACAAGTTCTAAGGTGAAAATACCACGAAGAGCAAGAGGGCCAGGTGTGCCATCAGACGGCACTCGTGGTTCAGACGGCACTCGCGGTTCTCTGTGAGTGTAGGCCTCTTGTTTGTTTGCTTTTTAAGACAGGGTTTCTCTGTGTAGCTTTGGCTGTCCTAGAACTCACTCTCTAGACCAGGCTGGCTTTAAACTCACAGAGATCTCCCTGCCTCTACCTCCCTGAGTGCTGGGATCAAAGGTGTGTGCCACCAGGGCCCGTCGAGTCTACAACTTTAATCACAGAATTCAGGAAGCAGGACCAGGCCAGCCAAGGCTACATACAGCCTGTCTCAGGAAGGAAAGAAGGAAGGAGGGACGGAGGGAAGGAGGAAGGGGGGGAGAGAAAGGAAAAGGAAACAAGAATGGGTCTTTTACATTATAAATAGCACATTTTATTCTGTCCTGAATTTTTATTTACTAACTGCTTTAAAAGAAGACCCCCTTCAGAGTGACAAACCACAGTGATTGTCTCTGTGCAGACAGGACCTGGGGGGGGGGGTATTCTATGCTTGCTTTCATTTTCTAAAGCAAAAATAAACAAATTTTATGGAGAATCACAGTTGTTAAATCTCAGTAACGAAAGATGCCACATATAAATTTGAGCGTTTATAACTTTTTTCTTCTTATTCATTGGAGTTTGAGGTAGTCGGATCCATTGGAACTTGAGTTACAGTCAGACAGTTGTGAGCTGCCAAGAGGGTGCCAGGAATCGAACCCTCTGGAAGAGCAGCCAGTGTTCTTAACCACTGAGCCATCTCTCCAGCCTTGCATTTATAACTTTTTATGATTTATTTCCGTTTTATAATCGACAAGTAAAAATCATATTTATGGCGTACAGCAATTATTTACACTGTAGAACACCGAGTCAAGTTACATATATTCTTCTATATTAGGAAGTCGGGTGTTTGGTCGGATTTTTATTCGGGACTTATTTTTTTATTTTAACCTGCGGGCTACAGAGATGGCTCAGTGGTTAAGAGCACTTGCTGCTCTTAGAGGACCCAGGTTCGATTCCCAGAATCCACATAGTGGTTCGCATCAGTCTGTAATTCCACCGTCAGGGGAGTCTGACGCCCTCTTCTTGCCTCTTCGGACACTGCACGCACTACTGCGTATTCATACACATAAATTAACTTAAAAAAAAAAAAACCACCTGAGTATTGATCCCAGGCCTCCCGCACGCTAGGCAAGCGCTCTTCCATTGAGTTACCACTCCCTCCCTGTTTTCACGTTTTTTCGAAATAAGATGTCACACTGGTCTGGACGGGTCTCAAACTACTGGGATCAGGGTATCACCACGCCACGCCCCTAGCAGTTGCTCAGTAGCTAACATTTGATGCATTTATTCAGCGTCAACAAAAATTCGGCGAAAATGTATCATTTCCTTAGATCACGAATGACTCCGGAGGTCGGGTACGAAAACAACTGACGCCGAGCGGCGCAAGGACCCGCCACGCTCCGTCTCAGGATTCACTTCCGGAAGAAGACGGCCCACAGTCCCAGCACCGGAAGTAGGAAGGCGCGAGGCCTTCTGGGAAGAGCTGACCCGGTGCTTTGGCTGTTACCAAGGCAACCGGAGGCGAGGCGGAAAGGCTGAGAACTCTCCTTTGACTGGCGGCTTCTCACTGTCTAGTTTTCTGCCTCCTTTTTCAAAATATAAGTTGAGAATTTTAAAGTGACATAACAGTGGTTTTCTAATGTAAAGGTAAATTATTCTTTTTCCTATTGTGCAAATGAAAAGAAAAAAAACTCGTTATCAAGGTACCCAGAAGCAAATTTAAGATTTTTCTCGTATTGCCTATCAGGGTTTTTTTCT